AACGTTCATGCCATAAACATTTAGACTCAAGCAAGTAAGAAGAAGCAAAATCTTTATTCATATCAACTGCAATTACATTGAGTTTAAAAAGGCCATCACTAAGGTAGCCTTTTCCTACATACATATCATTTTTGCTTACTGCTACTTTATCAGAAACAAATACACATTTAAATCCATTCTTGGTCAGAACTGGAATTGAAACTAAATTCTTTCTCAATTCTGGAACATATGAGACCCTATTCAAAGTCACCACCTTGCCTGATGTCATCTTTAATAGGACTTTGCCAGTTCCTTCCACCTTTGCAACAGCGGAGTTTGCCATAAACAATTTTTCATCTGTAAGTGCTGGAGTATATGATGAAAATAATTCTTTGTTGGCACAAACATGGCATGAGGCACCAGAATCTATCCACCATTCTCTTGGATTTCCAACCAAGCTACATTCTGAAAGCATTGCACAGAGATCGTCCATTTCTCCTTTGGATTCCAGCCAAGTTTGCTTGATCCTTCTTTTTCTTGTCCCTCTTAGGACCCCGGCATTCATTAGCCCTATGACCATGTTTACCACAATTCAAGCAGTTTCCATTGAATTTCTTCTTAGGAGGATTGCTTTTTGGACCAGATGCTTTCTTTCTTTTCTTTAATTTTGTGGAATCTTCTTCAACAAAATTTACTCCAGATATTGCTGAATTACCACGTGACCTCTTTTCTGCAGCCTTATTATCCTCTTTGATTCTCAACCTTACTATGAGATCTTCAACAGTCATCTCCTTGCGTTTGTGTTTCAAGTAGTTTTTAAAGTCCTTCCACAATAGAGGTAACTTTTCAATAATTGCAGGCACTTGAAAAGCATCATTCACAATCAATCCTACATTAAAGGTTATGTGAGTATTAAGGAAAACTTTAATATTTCTAACATAGGCATTAAATAAATTTATACCTTCAGCAAGGAGATCATGGATTATGACCTGCAATTCTTGAACTTCAGTGACGACAGTCTTACTGTCTTTCATCTTATAGTCTAGAAATTTTGCCACAATGAATTTCTTCATTCCGACATCTTCTGTTTTGTTACTTCTTTTCTAAAGCATCCCAGAGTTCTTTTGAGGTTTTGGCATTGCTGTACACATTGTACAGATCATCTTGCAGACCACTCAAAATATAATTTTTACACAAAAAATCTGAGTGTGTCCATGCTTCTGTTACCAAGAATCGTTCATCAGCCGGAGTTTCATATGACATAACAGGAACATTCTCATTGATGAACTTCTGCAGACTCAACGTAGTGAGATAGAAGAACATCTTTTGCTGCCATCTCTTAAAGTCGACTCCAGAAAACTTTGCAGGTTTCTCAGCCGGTGCTAAGGCAGCATTTGAACGATTATGTGCAACCATTGTTGTTGCAGCACTTACTGTTCCAGCATTTGTTTGACTTGAATTAGTCATTTTTTTTCTGTCACAAATGACAATTAAATTAAGTATTTAAAATACTAACAGTAAAGAACAAATCTTTACACAAACTGTTTCTGATTTAACGATAAAGTTTTTATGTTCTTTTAATCGTTAATCGAATGAATTTTTAAAAATTCAAGCGTAGTAGAATACCATAAAGGTTTTAATCTCCAGAAACCTCAAATACAGAAACTGCTAAATTTCTTAAGATTGTTATTCTTACAATAACTTGTATTTATGAAGTTAATGAACAGAAACAGAAACAAGATGAAGCAGAAAAAATTTAAAATACAAGAATTAATCCGAGTCCACAGAAACTACTGTGTGTCCTTAAGAAATTTAATCCCCTCACTGTACCCAAGGTTATGGATTAATTTCTCCCAAGATAAAACGGATTAAACCTGTTAAAGAAATAGAGGTACCTCAAACTTCTTTAACTTCAACGAACTGAAGAACAGCAACAAGTCACACAGACTCAGTCGATCGACACTTTGATTTTATTTTGAGAGAAAAATAAATGGCAGAGAAAGAAAAATTTTCAGTGTTTGAAAAATCAAAAATTGACTTCCTTTTATAGCCATTTTCAGCAAGGAACATTTCTGTTCAATGAAATATGTTCAGACCCATTTTATCCAGAAAGTTGTCTTTTGAAAAAAATAACAACTTTTAAAAAAAATGTGTCTGTTAGGAAAATAACTACTTTTTTGGAAAGTAACGACTTTTTAGAAAAGTAACAACTTTTCGAAATATTACCGTTACCCGCAAATTTATAAGAGATAATATTAACAGGATTTATTTGATTTAACAAAAATTGATTAAATAAATTTTGTCCAAAAATTTATCAATCAATCACATCATTTGCCAAATCCAAAGCCAAAGTAGTTCCCTTATTTTTCATATTCTCTCTTTTCTTTTCCCATTCACACTTGCTAAAACCCAACAGAGTCCTTATTTTACCCGTCTTGCAAGATCGAGGGTATATGAAAGGTCAGTTAGTTAAGTAGAGGGGTGTTGTTAATACTATCAATAGTTCTAGGACGAAATTTATAATTCTTGTCAAGTCCAGGGCTGTTTCAACACTTCTATCGACTTTTTATTTAGAGTCTCATTCTCCTACAAGAGTTTAAAATCACTTTCTATTGCATATGGCAGTTCAAGAGTGTATTTAAGTTCATTTAGTTAAATAGATGGATATTTTTAAGGCTCACAATAGTTCGTAGATAAAACTAATAACCCACGCCATGTCTACGGATTTTTGCAATACTTCTTTCTGTATCTATATACACTCCTTGATATTTTATCCCTGTCAATCTTGAGTTTTTCTTTGAAAATTTATATTTATTTTGTATGTTTTATCACGACCTTAACCATTGTTATCAACACCCACACCAAATCCTTGTGGGCGAACCTGAAATTAACATCTAACATATAAAATATCTAGGCAATGATAGGGAAACATAACAAAACACTTCTAAGTGTAAAAAAACCCCATCAAATTAATAGAAGTCTAAAGAAACATCTTCCAAATGTGAAGCATCACAAAACACAATGAAATCCTTATATTTTAACAACAATAATATGATAAAAGATGTAGTGATAAATGTGTTAAGATTTTGGAAGACGTCATCGCACTTGTTAGACCATACGAATGGTTCCTCCTTATATGCCAATCTTTTCAAAAGAGTGACAATTGAAGCAAAAGACTTGAAAAATCTGCGACAATATCTAGCTAGACCCACAAAGCTCCTAACCTCAGTCACAAAGCTAGACCTGATACCAAGTTAACTTTCTCGTACATTTAGGATCCTCCATCACCTTTTTTTCTGAGACTAAATGCCCTAAGAATGGAATCGAAGTTAAACAAAATTTGCACTTCGACAATTTGACATACAATTTCCGTTTCCCCAAAATCTCTAGAACACTGTGAAGATGCTTTGCATACTGCTCTTTACTATTGGAGTAGATCAAAATATCGTATATAAATACAATCACAAAGGAATCCAGAAATGACTTGAAGACACCATTCGTCAAACTCATGAAAGTCGCTAGTGCATTAGTCAATCAAAATGACATTATCAAGAACTCATAATGCCCATATCAAATTCTGAAAGACATGTTAGGCATATCCCAAATCTTATTTTCGATTGATAGTATCCTAGCCTCATGTCAATTATGTGAATGTATAAATAAACGTGACAAGAGAAACCAACTGGTCTCCTAACTTACTCTAAACTATAAGGACTCCTAATAAAAAGTTCCATTCCGACAAAGAAACTAGTGATATTTTTGCATAATGACCTAAAAATTATGTGAGTTGCTAATATTCAAATAGAAAATCATGTAATTAACTACTTAGTTAATATGTGGGCCAAATTAATTATCCTCTCTCTCATCTGACACTTTTATTTACACCCACCATATGTACAGGGTAAGGTCTGCCAGAAATCTTTGTCAAATGAAGGATTTTATGTATATGTGTGACAGTCCCATGTGATTGAACGTTGTGACTATTAATACATTATAACATTTGACTCTATCTAAAGGTTACATATTTTTCCCTTTTCAATTGGTGCGTGCAACGATCAAATTGGTCATCATTAAGATGAAGATTATGTTGAAGAAATTCGTAGGCAATGATGAAACAAATGTAGAAATTAGGGAGATAAAAAGAATTAGGAGAAAAATTGGTGCCTACACGGGCACAATTGTAATAATGAAGAAAAAGAAAATAATATTCTTGATATTAAGTTTGGTATTATTTAATTTTTTATTTAATAGTGTTTTCAATCTATATATAACTAATATATTTATTGCTTATTATTATATTTGTAGTAGATCATGACATTAACAATATCAATACTTCTTTTGTTCTAATTCATGTAGTACAATTTTGATTTTAATAGTTAAATTACCCCTTTAATTTAGTTTATATATAAATTTATGTGTGAAATTTTTAAATTTTTATCAATATAATTTGTGTCTTTAGAAACTGTGAATAAAGTAATACTAACTTATAGTAATTTATAATTTAAAATATTTGAGCAACATATTAAAAAATTACAATAAAAAATCTATTTACTTCTTGAAATTTGAAAGATTTGATATAAATTAAAATGAACAAAATCCTAAATACAAGTAATAACCGTACGTAGTAGCTAATTTTCAAGATTGGTGAGGTGAAGTAACGTAGTCGGCAGAAGTATTTAAATGAGTAATTCAAGGCATAATATATTTATTATTATTATTATTATTATTATTATTATTGTTATTATTATTATTATTATTATTATTACAACTAAAACAAAGAAAAAAATTAAAAAAAAATGAATAGTATTAACCAATAATAGAGACAAATACCACAAGTTGAAGAATAAAATTTTTTTAGTCAATATACATCCCCCATGTTAGGTTGCTACTATAAATAGGTTCCTTTTTTCTTCAAAACATCCCCAACCATTCATTTCATCATTTTTGGTGCTGTCCTTCGTTTATGTTTTTTTCCCTTTCATAAACTATAGTGAAAAAACAAATTAATTTCTAGTGGATATGCATGGAGAATCTGTAAAGCTCAGGAGGGATAGCGCCATGGATGACTCAATTCGATTTTTGTACACATCTTTAGCGCTATCCATCCTGAGTTTCACGGCTTTTTCATGCTTTTTTTTAAATATATTATTTTTATTTTTAATCTGCTCGAGGATTTAATAAAGTTGAATTTGTGGAGGCAAAATTCGTTTATGAAGGTAAAATGCGACATTATTGAAGAGAATTTTGATTTTTAGTATTTAAATTTGAAATTTCTTATTTATCAACTTAACATAATAGTTAATTGTAATGCGTGATGTTGAATTGTTGATGTGTCAATTTTACGCTTGCTATATCCATTACTACACTACTCCTATGTGGTTCAGCTTAAATTTCACTTAATTTTTTTATAAATCGATTATTTTGGAAATTGGCTTTAATTTTGATATGCTAAATAATTATTTATTGAGAGTATGTTTGATTAATCTTGAAAGTTAGACCGAATAAGATCAATTCCTTATTTTAAAACTTATACAAAAGATAATAAGATATAATAATATCTAAGTTAAGTGAATGGAGGTAAAGTGTACAAAGACGGATTCACAAATTCAGTAATTTCTATTTGATTCTTATATTTATTTTGAGACAATTACTTAATTCGTATATATTATTAATTTAAAAATTATCATTTATAAATATTAAAACTCAAATAAATAAATTTTAAATTTTAATTGCGTTTGTAAGGACGTACAGAATCAAACTTCTTGTTTTATATATCATGGACTTAATTTCTGTTATTATAAATTGTTATATATTATATATTGTGATTTAACTTATCATATAATTAGTTATTAATATTTTATTAGATTGTAAATTGATACTATATATACCTAAGCTTACTTCATATCATATAACGTTAACGCCTAATTTCTCAAATTATCCATATTTTCCCCATTTAGTATTTAAATCATGGTGTGTTGTTTATATGTATTGCTTGAACATTTTGAAAATGTCAACAGATATATATTGAATTTTTCAAAAATAATATATTATTAAAAATTAACCCCCTGAGCTATAAATAACATTTGCTATCTATAATCCTAGCTCTCTCACTCTTTACAATGCATAAGAGCTAGGTATTAGGCCAAAAGAGCAACGATACAACATTTTACCTTTATTTTGTATTTTACATTTTTCTTTTTTTTCAGGTAGACTCACCTCATTTTAGAAACATAACTCATAATGTGCAGATATTGTATTTACATATGTTCTAATATTCAAATTTTTCTTTTGGATTCTTAAAAATTTTTTACTGAGTAAACTTAAATTGTTATAATTTGCACTTATGTTTAATGTTATTGATATTTTTAATTTTGTTCTTACTTCATGAATATGTGTTTTCAACTCAGTTTACTGTTAGCAATAAAATAAGTTGATTGAATTTTGAAGAAGAAGAAGAAAAATCAATAAATAAATTTAAATAAGACAAAAAAAAAAAAGACAAAAGAAAATCATTAAATGCTCGATATTATCTTACCTTTTTTGTTGTTAATTTTTCAGTAATATTGTTATTTTAGAGTTACCTTTTTTTAACTGAGTTTACTGTTATGCTAAATACCATGAGTAATATTTCTTTCCTAGATTTTAAAATTATCTTTATGTACTTTTATTTTAGGATAAATTAGCAACGCAGTTCTTTTTAATAAAATATGTACAAAATTGAAGAAGAAAAATAAATAACAGAGTAAGAAATTAAGAAAAAATCAAAATACTTTATTTTTAAAATATATAAAAGGGAAAATGATCAAATTGACCTTAAATTATGTGAAATGGATGAAAATACCCCCATTTATACTTTGACTAAATATAACTTATAGTCAATACTTCGGTTAAAAATGCCTTAACAGACAATACTTTGGTCCAGAAATATCCCTATAGTTACAAAATGAGTCAAAAATGTCTCTTTCCCAATTATATATATATATATATATATATATATATATATATATATATATATATATATATATATATATATATATATATATATATATATATATATATATATATATA